TCACCAAGCGAAGTATCGCATGCTGTGGGCTCAGCCCCACTGTACAGTGAGGAAGAGCTAACAGAGGGCGGTCAGGAACGGGGGGAGACATCCGCCTCTTCAGCAGCCAGGCGAAGAAGTACTGGCGAGGAGAGAGGGCTCGGTAGCCGGTCTAGAGACAGGTCTGTCTCCTGACCCACACGCAGCCGAGGGGGCTAGTAGTGAGGCGGAGACCCTAATTGATGATGATGAGGCTGATCGCACTTGGCAGCCTCGTCGTCATCAGGCTATTGCTTCCGCATCATCAGGAGAAGAGGGTGCCAGCTTGGCAGCGAGCAAAACAGTCGGTGGGTTGCCCAGGAGGCAGCAGGGTCGCAGCAGTGTCAGTGGAGGCAAACGGCCACGGAGTAGAGCACCAGCTCCACTGCAGCCTACCACCACGGCCAGTAGTGGTGCCGGTGTGCACGGAGGAAGTAGCAGTCAGCCAGTGAGGAGTATCGGGGGCAAAGTTTCCTACTCGGCGGTGTGGCAATTTTTCGTCAAGCCGCCCGAGGAAGTAAACGTAGCCGTATGTCGACTATGTGGCCAGAAAGTCAAGCGTGGCCAGGGGGCCCATGTTGGGACTACAGCGTTGCGTCAGCATATGCAGCGTCGCCATTCGGTGGCCTGGGAAAACCGTGATAAAAAGATACGGCGGTTCTGCCTGCCCAGCCCCCCGCTCCATCACCCGCTCCGTTACTTGCTCCGTCACCCGACGTCAATCGCCCTCTATCAGCCAGTCAAGGCTCCAACACCTCTGCTGAGGGGAGTTGTCGCTCGTTGGCATCTTCCGCTCGTTCAGATGCTCCTTCTCCTGCTACTCCTCTTCACGGATTCCGTCAGCAGTCTTTCTTGGAATCCGTTTCCAAGAGACAACAGTTTGCGAGCACGCACCCGACGGTGCAGAAGCTGAACGTCCTCCTGTCCAAGTTGCTGGTGCTGCAGTCCCTCCCTTTCCAAGTGGTGGACTCAGCACCTTTCCGAGAAATGATGGCTTGTGCCGAGCCGCGGTGGAGAGTGCCAAGCCGGCATTTCTTCGCCAAAAAGGCAGTGCCAGCCCTGCATTCACATGTAGAAGAGATGGTGGGCCAGTCTTTGAGCATGTCGGTCTCTGCCAAAGTGCACGGCAGCGCCGACGTGTGGAGCTGTAACTACGGTCAGGGACAGTACATGTCATTTACGGCCCACACTGGGTGAACGTGGTGCCGGCACAGCCGCACCAGCAACTTGGACAGGTCACGCCGCTTTTGCCTCCACGTTTGCACGTCCTTGGTCCAGCAAAGATGTCCGCCTCTACCACCTCTTCTTCCGCCGTGTCCTCAGCCGCCACCCCCGTGCCAAGTCCCATTACCCGACCGGCATATCACATGTGCAGGGCGCAACGGTGTCACGCTGTGCTGCACCTGGTATGCCTTGGCGAACGTAGTCACACAGGGGAGGAACTTCTGAGTGTAATGAACAGAGAAATCGACAGATGGCTGTCTCCGCGCAAACTGAAAATCGGAACCATGTTGACCGACAACGGAAAGAACATGGTGTCTGCTCTGCGTCAAGGAAGGTTGTGCCATGCGCCATGCATGGCTCACGTGTTCAATCTGGTTGTCAAGCGGTTCCTAAAATCCACCATCCCACTGCAAGACATCCTTAAAATGTCACGTAAACTTTGCATGCATTTCAGCCATTCCTACACCGCAAAGCACACCCTCCTTGAGCTGCAGCGGCAGAACGGAATTCCACAGCATCGCCTGATCTGCGACGTTGCAACAAGGTGGAATTCAACCCTACATATGTTAGACCGCCTTTACGAACAGCGAAAGGCCATCACCGATTTCCTGATGTTACAAGCGGATAAAGGTACTCCCCCCTGTGTAACTTAGATGTCAGCCATTGGCAGCTCATGCGTGACACCTGCCGCTTGCTCAGGCCCTTTGAGGAGGCCACGCTATTCGTGAGTCGGCAGGACTATGGGATGAACGACGTCATTCCTCTGTTGCACGTCCTGGAACAAATGCTGTTAACAATGGCTGGTCAGGGTGCGGTAGACGTGGCGCACAGATCTCAACGCCACATGACCCCTGTGGGGGCAGGACAGGAAGAGAGAGGAGGAGGTAGAGGAGGACATTGGTGCTCAGGAATTATTGAGTGAAATGGGTGGTTTTTCCACTCAGCGGACAGGAGTGGAGTGGAGGAGCAGGAGCATCTGGTAGAGGAGGAGGAGGAGACAGAGGACCCAGACGCACCGTGGCAGTATGCTGTGGAGATGGAGGCAGGGAGTCCCTCGCATTCCTTGGCACAAATGGCCCATAGCATGCTCGGTTGCTTGCGTAGCGACAGCCGAATAATAACCATCAGACAGAGGGATGACTTTTGGCTGTCCACCTTGTTGGACCCTCGCTACCGTTCAAAAATGGTGGCCTTTTTCACACACCTGCTGAGAGGGAGGCCAAAATAATAACGTACTATAAAAACCACCTATGTAGTCAGTTGGTCTCTGCCTTTCTGCGCCAACGTCCATCCTCAGACACTGTGGGCCCTGTGCGCTCGCGTTCCGCTGCCATGGCAGCAGGGGAGGGGTGGGGGTGGTAGGAGCAGTGGCAGCTCCACCAGCAGCGGGCCTGCCTCAGTCTGCAGTCGATGATGAGTAGCTTTCTTCACCAGCGCAGTGAGGAAACTACTAACCAGCCGCAGCAGCAGCAGCATCAGGTGGACCTGGAGCAGGACCTCAAACAACAGGCTTGGGCCTACTTGGACAGCACCCTGCCAACCGAGGTAGACAATCCCCTTGACTACTGGGCAACGAAACTTGACCTTTGGCCCCAACTAGCTGAATTTGCCCTTGAAAGGCTGTCATGCCCGGCCAGTAGCGTGGCATCGGAGCGCGTGTTTAGTGCGGCAGGAGGTATTGTAACTCCGCGGAGGACACGACTGTCCACCCAAAGTGTGGAGAGACTCACGTTTGTGAAAATGAATCAGGCGTGGATTAGTCTGGATTTCAAACCACCAGTTCCTGACACAACTGACTAAATCCGCCATGAATCATGCCCCAAACATGTTATTATTTTTAACATAGGCCTCTGTATGGCCTTCAATTTAAGCTGCTTACGCTTCGCCACTCTGCCATGGGCCCCTGTACCGCCTCCTCTTGCTGCTGCCAGGTCCAGAGTGTGTCATGGGTCCCTGTACGGCCTCCCATTGCTGCTGACTTCATCGCCAGACTCTGCCATGTGCCACTTTCAGGTCTCCTTACACTGTTGGTGGGTTCCATTTTGTGATAGGGTGCTGTATGGCCTTCCATTGCTGCTGCCTCCACCGCCACCCTGCGCCATGTGCCTCTGTCGTCTGCTCACGCTGCTGACGGCTTCCGCTTTTTAACCGAGGCCTGTGTTTGGCTTCCGAATACTGCTGCATCCACCGCCACCCTGCGCCATGTGTCTCTGTCGTCTGTACTCACGCTGCTGCGGCTTCCGCTTTTTAACCTAGGCCTGTGTATGGCTTCAGAATAATGCTGCTCTACACCGCCACCCACCCTGCGCCATGTGCCTCTGTCGTCTGCTCACGCTGCTGCCAGGTCCATACTGATTCATGGCCCTGTACCGGCTCCTCATGATGTGGTCGTGGTTCAGCGGGTTTGCATCACTTAACGGCAAATCGTTGACCGCTGGGACGTTCAGTGTTGGCCCGCATTAAGCCAGACACCCATTTTGCTGGGCAGCACAGACCTGTTATTACTCCTCAAGCATGGCTGAACAACCACTCTGCCACAAATGGACCCACCTTCCCAGGTCTCGTCAAGTAGATTGCTGGTGGTAGAGTTCGTTATTGGAATTAACTGTGAGGGTGCTAGGCCTGTGTATGGCCTCCCATTGAAGCTGCTTCTGCCAGGCCCGTAATCTGCCATGGGCCCCTTGTACCGTCGTCTCATGCTGCTGCTGGGCCCAACTTTTTAACATAGGCCCTGTATGGCCTTCAATGCTGCTTTCGCCAGGTCCAGAGTGTCATGGGTCCCTGTACGGCCTCCCATTGCTGCTGCCAGGCCCAATCTGCCATGGGCCCCTTTACACTCTCCATGCTGCTGCCACCAATTTGTCATAGGGTGCTGCCCCTGTACCGCCTCTCATGCTGCTGCCAGGCCCGTTCTGCCATGGGCCCCCGTATTACTCCTCATGCTGCTGCCAGGCCCGTAATCTGTCATGGGCCCCTGTACCGCTGCTCCTCACTGCTGCTGCCAGGTCCTAATCTGAGTGTGTCATGGGTCCCTGTACGGCCTCCCATTGCTGCTGTCTCCATCGCCACACTCTGCCATGTGCCACTTTCAGGTCAGGTCTCCTCACACTGCTGGTGGGTTCCATTTTGTCATAGGGTGGGATGTACGGCCTCCCATTGCTGCTGCCAGGCCCGTAATCTGCCTGCTGGCCCCCGTACCGATCCTCATGCTGCTGCCAGGCCCGTAATCTGTCATGGGCCCCTGTACCGCCTCCTCATGCTGCTGCCAGGTCCAGAGTGTGTCATGGGTCCCTGTACGGCCTCCCATTGCTGCTGTCTCCATCGCCACACTCTGCCATGTGCCACTTTCAGGTCTCCTCACACTGCTGGTGGGTTCCATTTTGTCATAGGGTGCTGTATGGCCTCCCATTGCTGCTGCCAGGCCCGTAATCTGCCATGGGCCCCCGTACCGACTCCTCATGCTGCTGCCAGGCCCGTAATCTGTCATGGGCCCCTGTACCGCCTCCTCATGCTGCTGCCAGGTCCAGAGTGTGTCATGGGTCCCTGTACGGCCTCCCATTGCTGCTGTCTCCATCGCCACACTCTGCCATGTGCCACTTACAGGTCTCCTCACACTGCTGGTGGGTTCCATTTTGTCATAGGGTGCTGTATGGCCTCCCATTGCTGCTGCCAGGCCCGTAATCTGCCATGGGCCCCCGTACCGACTCCTCATGCTGCTGCCAGGCCCGTAATCTGTCATGGGCCCCTGTACCGCCTCCTCATGCTGCTGCCAGGTCCAGAGTGTGTCATGGGTCCCTGTACGGCCTCCCATTGCTGCTGTCTCCATCGCCACACTCTGCCATGTGCCACTTTCAGGTCTCCTCACACTGCTGGTGGGTTCCATTTTGTCATAGGGTGCTGTATGGCCTCCCATTGCTGCTGCCAGGCCCGTAATCTGCCATGGGCCCCCGTACCGACTCCTCATTTTGCTGCCAGGCCCGTAATCTGTCATGGGCCCCTGTACCGCCTCCTCATGCTGCTGCCAGGTCCAGAGTGTGTCATGGGTCCCTGTACGGCCTCCCATTGCTGCTGTCTCCATCGCCACACTCTGCCATGTGTCACTATCAGGTCTCCTCACACTGCTGGTGGGTTCCATTTTGTCATAGGGTGCTGTATGGCCTCCCATTGCTGCTGCCAGGCCCGTAATCTGCCATGGGCCCCCGTACCGACTCCTCATGCTGCTGCCAGGCCCGTAATCTGTCATGGGCCCCAGTACCGCCTCCTCATGCTGCTGCCAGGTCCAGAGTGTGTCATGGGTCCCTGTACGGCCTCCCATTGCTGCTGTCTCCATCGCCACACTCTGCCATGTGCCACTTTCAGGTCTCCTCACACTGCTGGTGGTTTCCATTTTTGTCATAGGGTGCTGTATGGCCTCCCATTGCTGCTGCCTCCACCGCCACACTGTGGCTCCACACTCTGGTTTTGGCCCCGTGACTGCCCAAATGAGTGAAGTGTGCGGTGATTCTAAGATCGACGGCACTCATCTGCATGTCATACTGACTGACAGTATTATTTCTCTTCCCCAGCAGACTCCAAGGGCATTTAAATTAAAGGTACAGTGTTCTGCACTAATATAAAGGCTCTCTGAAGCCTAGAAACACCCTTTTTACACGTTAAATTCGCAGCGAATATATTCGCCTCGAATCGAATTTATTCCGCGAATTCGGCGAATCAGCCGAATCGAATTTTTGAATAATTCGCTCATCTCTAATTATAATTCCAAACATTTTCTTGTTGAAAATACATTTGTCTAGTGAACCTTATATTCTGTAATGAATGATCTGCCATCAACAATAAATAATTGTACCCAGGCTAAATAATTCTCAGTGTTCCATTGCATCACTGTCTTGTCACTATGTATCCCCAAATTAAATAGAGCCATGGTATTCTTTAATGTATTAGTCCCAGAGATGATTTATGTCTTCATATCTAAAAGAAAACCTACATAATGAGTGCTGTGTCCACTGTGGAAAAGATGCAATACATACATACAATACATACAATACATACTCGGTGACCTGTTAAGGAATGTGAACACGAGAGGGATTCTGAGAATTACTGCACACACTCCTAATTTACCATGAAAATAAGTCATATGGCATTGTCGTAAATGTATAATGATCTGTGTGATGATCATGAGACATAGAAAGCAAAATTCATCCTATCAACATACCTGTGAACTTTCCAAAGTGATCCTGACCCTGGGGTAAGGGACAGGGCAAGAGGAGAAGTGAATACTGCCAAAATGGAAGCATTGGTTTAAAGGGGGCAAATCTGGGACTGTGCTGTGGTTTGATAGTGCCAGACCTTCAGAGGATCAAGTTATAGAGTAATATGGTCCTCTAAAAAAACAACCCTAACTTGAAAATATTAGGGCATCTTTACCAAACAATTGCGTATGTAGGTAAGGGGCACCTGCAGATAAGAAAAAAAAACAGTACAGCTTTAACTAAAATCATGAATAATGCCCTTGCTGTAGGTGTAGGCCATCTACATTCCTCCCAAAATCTGGATGAAAAACTCCAAGAGGTGGCAACATCCAGTCCTGCCTTGTTGATAGGATGTTGCTAAAACACTTCCAGCTGTTACTGCTCACCTCCACCATCATAGGAGCTAGTTCTCAAAGCTCTACACATGCGCTTCACTCCTCTGTCTCAGCATTGCTGAGCTCAGAGTTAATGCAACACTGAAAAGAGGGCATATGTGCAGGGTTTTCCGTCAAAGAAAGTACTAGCTCCTCAGATAGTGGGGATGGGCAGTAATGGCTGGGAATGCCTTAACACTGTCCTAGCAACAAGGCAGGATACAAACTCAGAGTTTTTCAGCCAGGCTTCAGAAGGTACTTAAGTGGCCTATACCTATAGCAAGGGCAATATACAATTTTAGTCAAAGCTGCACAGTTTGTTTTTATATGCAGGCGCCCCTTACCTGTATAAGCAGTTTTTTGATGACCTGGGCTACAAGCAAGTAATTTATAGAATACATGGGCAAGAAATGGCAATTTTACAACAAGCAGGAAACAAATGGACAGCAATGACAATGCAAGGGCAACAAATAGGTAGTCATGATAGTATTTGGGAAATAAATGGGCAAGACTGACAATACACAGGCAGCAAACTGGTAATTATGATAATACACAGACAAGAAAGAGGCAATTGTGATTACAGGGGGAAGCACACTGGCAATTGTAAAAATACATAGGCAACAAATGGGCAATTGTGAGAATATGTGGACAACAAACTGGCAATCATGTGCAGCCCTCTTTTGGGGGGTATGATAAATGGTCCTCCCCAAAGAGGTTATTGCGCTAAAACCGTAGGTAAATAAAAGAACCAGAACCTTCACTAAGTGGAAGAGTGGAATCGATAATAAAAAGTTGGCAGTGCCTCCACCTCTGTGAACAGAGGGGATTCCTTTCTTGGGAAATTAATTAGTGATCTAAACAAAGTAGGAGGAGCAGAAAAACTACTGCAACCAGCATATAACATTAACCATAAGTACACCAGTATAGAAATAATACAAGCGTTATAGAAGAGATTAATAACCATATATACATCTAATGTACAAACAAGTATTACCAGCAAAAGGGCCCAGACCAGAGTCCTGATGGAATTGTACACATTTACCCAGGTATATATAGTTAATAATAAAGATACCTCCAGATGAATGTTGCAGCACAGATCAGTTGCAAGGGCCGCTAAGGATGATGTGGCATCTCTTGTGTCAGAGGCCTGAAGACAAGATACTGTCCAACCAGCCTGGAAAGGAGATTCTCACTGGCAGGAACTGTGGTGTGGCACTTGAACAGTGGCACTGGACTCATTGTCAGCCTATCTACTCCATGCTTTAGCCCATTGGACTCCAAACTTTCTAAACAAACGGCCAGTTTACTGGCTTTCAAACTTTAGGGGGGCCATTGGGAGTAGAAATTGTCCTGAGCCATTGGGAGTAAACAATGCATCTTTGGCATTAGGGGGAGGAATAGTGCCCTATTCTTGGTGTAAATTGGAGAAATAGTGCCTCATCATTGGTGTCAGTGGGCATAATAGTGCCCCGTTGTTAATGTCAGTGGGAGGAATAGCGCCTCATGTTTTTTTTCAGTGATAGGAATAGTAAATGGGAGGAATAGTGCCCCATCGTAGATGTCAATGGGAGGAATAGTGCCTGTTGTTTATATCAGTATCAGGAATTATGCCCCTTGTTAGTGTCAGTGAGAGGAATAGTGTCTTGTATCAGTGGGAGGAAAAGTGCCCCAAGGGCCAGACAAGGATAAGCAAAGAGCATAAGCATTCGGCCCCCTGGTCATAGTTTGGAGACCACTGCTTTAGTCTCTCACTAATAGTTTCTAATCTGACCTGCAACTGCACTTCTAAGCCTATGATCCTGACGTGGCCACCAGAGCACTAACCTGGCTACAGCCTATGCTGGTTATTAAGCCTTAAAATACAACTAGCTGTACAATCCTAGACCAGAAAGGATATGGTTACTTAGAATAACTGGGGTTTCATATAAACTATATTGCAATAAACAAGTTCACCTTCCAATATACTGGAAGCTGAACACTACATATACAGTAGCAAAGACCAAGCTATGCTGTGTATGTGAAATAAAAACAAGGACAGGTCAGAGGTACTCTCTATACACACTCATCAGCTGCAGTTAAACTATTAGGCCATAGGGATAACTGGGGTTTAGCAGATAATGTGGCTGAGACCTTTCTCTCTCCACTTCCTACTTCCAGGATTTCAAAGTCAAAAACCCAGGGACAGGAAGTGCCTACATAATACATTTATAGGCATTTACAAATTCAGACAGTAGAGGACAGTAGATCACTACACAAGTCATTATGTGACAATGACAATAGTGACAATAGGAATAATAATCCAAAATTAATTAAAACATTTTGGGTTTAGCTATACTTTAAAGTGGGACATTTTGAGTTTTGGGTAGTATGGGGAAGGTTTAGATTTCGGGTTACCCCAATGGAGATATGTACCTACACTTCTGTTGCCAGTGACACCCAGCTGCATTGACCTGATCTTCTTGTTTCCCCTCTTTGCTGTTTTAATTCTATATACATAAGAAGAAACCAATGTTTAGCTCCCTTACACATTCAGAGGTTGCCAGCACTGATACCAGCTCTAGAAGCACACCAACAAATATCAGGCTCAGCCTAGGGATGTCTTTCGAAGTTTTATTGTAGATCTCAAACATAGGCAGGAAGGAGGGATGAAGGTGAAGGTTACTCAAAAGCACACACAGGTCTTGGAGGACAGGTTCTCACAGTCCTGTTTCAGCAGTACTGGACCCTTCAGTAGCAACCTCAAAGTAATGCTCAAAGTAGATGGGAGACCCAGTTAACCTGAAACTTTATATGAGCAGTCACAGTTTTTGCAGCCACCTCTGGTATCTAACCCTCAAGCACTTGCACTCCTGGAGCGATAGGCAAAAGGTCCTACTCACAATGTTCAGAGGAGCGCCCAACCAGCTCCTCTGCAACTCTCTTTAGTTAAAGGTTTCCTTTCCTGCCCAGCTTCTACAGGTTGTATTCTCCTGCACATTTCCTTAAGTCCACCCTTATCAGGCCCTCAGCCTTAGCACCTGCTGAGGCCTAACAGCAGTAGTTCTTCAGCATCATACACATGCTGTCTTCCAGAGGGACCACATGAGAAAAAGCTCTGATCACACCCTTCCAAACATTTGTCTTCTCCATGTTTTGGGCCAGGCTCTCAGGGATTGACTAAAGTCAGATCATAATCCAGTGTCTGACCCTCCAACACTATTTATGGAACTTTCTTCCAGAGACAGACAGTAGCAATCAGCCACCAGGTTTAGGGATGAACCTGATTAGGCCTAAAAAGTAAATTGCAGCACATCTGATTATAGCAAAGCCATACATTAAATTAAGCCAGCTCAGGACAGAGGTGCTACATCAGTGTGCATCTTGTTAAATTCTGCCCATTTGTAGGGCTAAGAGGCAAACTACTGTCAAAAAAGCAATGGGAAGCCATTCAATGCCAATGCAATTAAAAAAATAAGTTTTTAAAAAATAACGTGTAGCGGAAAGAGGTTCTTCTCATGAGGGTTCGAGGGCAACATAGAAAATATACAAATCCTTTAAATAATATGCTGCAGAGTGCCTTAAAGCAATAAAAGACCCAAAAACAAAAAAAATTGCAGTTATTAATTCTTAAATGTGATGGCTGCATTTGTTTTCTTTAATTTAAGCTTTTTCTGTTATTTTCACCTGATGATCCAGCCAATTAGACGCTTCCTGTCCTGGGG